AAATCTGTGCTCTCTCGTACAGCTTGTTTTTGCGTACTTTTCGTGCTAGCTTATTGTACGAACTTGTTTAGACAAACACTGTTTCGAAGAGTTCTGACCACTGAAAACTTAAAAACCCTCATCTACAAGCAAGTGGTGAGCAACTTCCAAAGGGGTTTTAGCGCTTTTCGAAAAGCACGAGTCTTTAAGTTTATCACGCTGGCTTCGCGTTTCCAAAACAACAACTTTGAACGAAGCTATAATCGTTGGAAGCTGGGAACCCACATGTTCAAAAAATTCTCCGCAACTCTCTCTCACCCCAAAAGAGGTCGGATTTTTCTTTGCTTTGGCGCTTCGGCTTTTGTTTTCGAAACAGATTTCAAATTCTTCAAAGCTCAAGTCCCGAACTAAAAACTTCCAAGTACTTGTTGAAAGCAAGCCGGGGGATTAGCCCGAGTAGTAGGAAGGATACCGCGAGGAGAATAGTGGGGTCCGTACCTACATACTAGATCAGGCCAGCTTCGTCGCACAAATTGCGCGATTAGGGCGCTAGCAACCATCCCCCAAGGTTACGGGGCAGCGGTCAACCAACGTGTGCGAGTCCAGACAGAAAAGCACATTTCTGGGACTAAGCCTTTCGAAGGAAGGAAAGAAAGCAGAGATGCTGTAATAGTGTGCATGTGCGAGAGTCCCAGAGAACACTACAAAACACTGAATCACCAAGCCTTCCGGTTGTCCACTGCCCGTAAACGATCCCCAAACCCCCGTTGCAACGCTTCCCCACCCACCGCGATTGAAGTATAGATCAGCGTGCTCTCTCGAATAGCGTGCTCTCTCGCGTGTTTTGTCTTCTTTGATCGCCCTGTCTCGCCATCGTACCACATCCGACCTTACTGAAGGTTAAGGCCTTAATTTTAGCGTTTCCGATGATTTCTCTTGCTTTCCTTTCCATTTTTCAGTGCACAGCTCAGCCATCACTATGAAGCACTCTTATACACCAGTTTTATCACGAGGCTTCCCTTCAAGGTTCCTAAACAACAACTTTAAATAAAGGTATGATCAAGGGTTGAAAAATCGCTTCTGCGCGAAGAGAGCACAAACGGCTACAATCAAAAGGTCCATGCAGCTATCTTTTATCGTCTGGATCGATCTGGGAGTAGCAAACGCGCTCCTCCGATGCCATTGTATTGTAGTAGAAGAGCGAGGGGGTCGCATAGACACTATGAAGGGTTAGGGCTGGTCGTAGAAATTTCAAAAGAGTACAAACGCGAGGGTAGACCTTGTTCCAATGTGGTTGGTATGACTAATTTCCTGATAGGGTTCTTCTCGAGAAGGCACCATTTTACAAGCTTTTTGAGGCAGAAGGGTCCATCAGTTCATCAAAAATGTTGCGTTCAGCCTAGGGGCGTACGCAGCAGTACCAGACCGTCGAGGAAGCTCCATCCGCGGACGGGGCTGCTACGTACGGTCCCAGAAGGGTGCGTAGCGTTTCTCCTCCTGGGGTCAGGTCACCTAAAATTGAGACGCCGTTCATTCGCTCGGAGCAAGCTTAGGACTAAGCCTAGGCCCAATCATAGGCTTAGGCATAAGCCAATGTGTAAGCATAAGCCTTAACCTAAGTCTAAACCCAAACTTAAGCTTCAATGATCGCGCAACTGTGGTGACCTGACCCCAGGAGGAGAAACGCACGTCTCCCGTCCCAGAAGAGCCGCCCAATTCCCGTGAAAGGCACATGTCTAGGCTTGCTACGCTGACCTGAACATCACTGTGGCATTCAGTTTGAAAATTGAGCAGTGAAAAGCGTTACATAACCCCAGATAAAGACGAGTACATGGCGCACCACAGAACCAGTTAATCTTTTTATTAATCGTAGCACAACTATTTATAGCATAGCAAATATAGGAAACATGCAATTTAATGTGTAACACAGCCCTTCTTCAGGTTGTAAATCTCAAAGGAATGATGCGAACTCACGTTGTACGTGAATGAAAAAGTGAGTGCTGTCAAAGAAAAGTTAGTGAGAACAAAAAAATGTTGTTGGTGAAACAAGTAGCTCTTGACTTGCTAAGCGATACTCAAGTTCGAAAAAGTTAACCGGCAATAATAATGCGTTAAGAGATCATTTTTAAAAGCTTTGATCGTCTCTAGAACGCTTGCTAAGTCGGTAAAATAACCAAAAAAACGACATGGTGGTACAAAAAAATGTTCGATTAGTTATAAAAGTTGAAGAAGAAGACGATGAGAACAGTAAGAAGTGAAGAAAATGAGGTTAAATGTTACCAGCTTCTTACTCCAACCAATAGAGTACATTCAACTTACTGGATTATGCACAAGATGTTTTTCAATGGTAAGATCAGTTATCCACTTTTAATTGGAGCAGTTATAGGAGGACAAATTTCGATTCTCCCTTTAGAACCAAACGACGGGAGCCCTCTTATGTAGACAGCTCACTTACGTCCCCTAATCAGATTAACCACCATACACTTCTTAAAAGATTGAATACAGTACAAGGAGCACCAGCCCTGCAGATGGGAAGTCTCACTCAATTCCCTTCAGAAGGGAAAGTCTGCAGATTTGTTGTCAGCGTAATCCACGAATTCCTTTCCATACGCGAGGCACACCTGGAAAAAAGCTGTTACGATGCTATGCAATCAAAATATTTCACTGTTAACCTCCAGCTATCTGACGAAACGACTCGGTAGCAACGAAACTGATGGAGTTTGTGTCTCAGTAAAAAAATTGGAACATGTAAAGGCAAGAAACTCGTGGTAGTTTATGGAAGGAAAAAATTCTGCAGAACAAATGTATAAGATAGCAATTCTTATTTGAATTCTCAGTTGGGTCACAGTGTCGCGGTACGCGACTGTCGTCCGGGCGCGCTGCACGCCTGGGCTCTGTCTCACTCCACGGCCACTTGTTAGGTGCGCGCGGCCCTAGAAGCGTGCGCCACGTAGTGGCCCCGCCCCAGCCGAGGCCAGTCGTCATGCGGTCGCCTCTGCCGGTTGAGGCGTACTTCCTCTCCGTGAGGGGGGAGCCTCAGGCTACGGCCGCCAGGAGGCCAAGGGCGACACATGAAGTGCGCAGAGCACTTCATGGGCGCATTGCTGCCGTGCGGTCGGGCGCACGGTAGTCTCCCTTGGCGGAGCATCGGTAAGTTCACACCATGCGTCCCTATCGAGGTTCGCCTCGCTTAGGCCCGATGGTGTGATCGGCTGTAGGGCCCTCAATAACATCTGAGGGAGGAGGCAGAGTGCAGCGTAGGGTTATCGCAAGGTAACTTTTTTTGTAGGTTAAAAATCCCGGAGTCTTTCTGTTCCGTCAATTCGGAGTAGTTGCACCTTCGAAGTTCCAAGTGGAAGATTCAACAATGTTCCAGAGCCCGCTACTGTGAAATTTAAATCGTTCCGTTTGAAGTAGAACCTTGGGTGATTTCATCCTCTTAAAAATAGGCTCCTTTTAATTTGGGCGGAAGTGGTGTAGTGGCAAGTGGCACGCTTACCACGCGAGCGGTCCGGGATCAAATCCTGGGTCGTGAGTCGCCCGGGCCAACCAAGCCTTCCATCCCTCCGGGGTCGGTTAATTGGTACCAGACTTGTCTGGGAGGATAAAAACACTGACTTGTACATCGGCTGGCCCCCGCAAGTCATTGTATAGGCCACATCGCATTCAAACGCCACTGAACGTACAGAATGTTGCCGCATACCAATACGGGATTGAGTCCGTGCGGAGTGGCCCACCGGGACCACGCCATCAATGGGTTAGCCAGTGATAACCGGTATCTACCCAGGCAGAACTTTAGCAATGAAACGGTTCCATAGCGAGACTAGTTTTCTTGCAGAATACGATCCATGGGCTTACTCAAACAGTTGCAAAGTTCCTATCCACTCAACCTTATCAGCACACTTCAGGATTTCAAATAAGAACACATATGTACTGTAGTAATCACCTGCATCAAAGCTTCAGTGTCATCTTGAGCGTAATGTGCTGTGAACTGCTTCTTCAACACCTGAAAAATTCTACTAGAAAGAATCTTATACGGCAGAACAAATTGGTCCACTTCATTCTTGGAATGATCAAACTGCAGATCCTAAAGGTCTGATGTAAGACGCCATTCGGCTTGGTACCCTGTTTTGGAGGGAGGAAAGATGGGCAGCACACAACAAAGACAGGAGATACTACTGTTCAAGGAAATTCCATACATACCGTCTCATAAATTGTGGTCAACTTGTTCTTAGTGTTCATTTGAGCCACAGTGCGATTGAAATCCCAGCGACCACCCTCCAAACGCCTAAAGTGAAACACAGTATCAAATCTACTATGTAGTCCTCGTCTACAAGAAGACGCCAAAGAAAAACCATAGTTCGCACCTGAAATACTCCGGGCGAACGCGACGTCGTTTTGCTGGGGACCAGTCTTCCGTATTCAAAAACAAAAGCGGATGATCATTTCCAGGCAGCTCGCTGTCAAAAAGACGGCGACGACCGGAACTAAAACGCTTAATTTCACAGTACGGTAACGTGAAGCGTAACTACCATCGACTTCACTCCTATTCATGAACTCACAGTTTTGCCGGTTCACTAAGAGTTCCACGGGGAGGCGGAGGGCGAGTGGGAGTTAGCGGGTCCACGGGACACTGCTGCTGTGCCAAGTGTCCCTCCAGATCTGTGACCGTAAAGGTAAGACAAGACAAAATCATAGCACAAATTACAGTCACTGCAACAATGAATGAATGTCTACCGCTCATCCTGTTAACAGAAGGGGTGATATTTCTCACCTTTGAGATCAACCTGCGCAATCCGATTAGCGTCCTCTTCAATCGCAGCTGGAATATCCTCACAAGCTGGAACCCTACTCAGGCATACTTGCTCAGAAACTGCAACTAGTGATCGATAAGCATTACTCTCAAATCATTTAATATGATTTCTCGAAAAAATCCAGTTTGGCAACAAAAGTACTGCAGTTATAAATTGCGAAGAACCATTGCGAGTATTCTATTACTAGTTTTGTTTGTAGAGCAAGTGTGTCTCTAGATAGGTAACGCAAGTGAACTCAAACCCAATAATATCACAAATGATTTATTTGATGATTTATGATTTTTTTTGCCGGAAATCATACTCCGAGGACATAGGACGTCAGAATTGTAGAGAAACAAATCTACGCCAAGCAAATGCACAGGGAAGGGCGAGAAGGTGCTTATGAAGCGCATCTTTATCTTTTGTAATTTTTATTCACAATTCTGTTCGTTGGAGTTGTTGGTTTTTTTTGAATAATTGTTCGGAGTTTGTTCACACAGGTTCGCTTGTGTAATAAATAATAATCTTTACATTTCGTCGATGAAATAAGTCTCAGAGCAAAAGATTCCTGGAATAGCACACAAGTTCGAAGTTCGATGAATCTTGGCATCGTGTGGGTAATCTTCATGGCGTCAAAATCGAACCTAAGAAGGATTCCTGGAATGCCTCCCCCTCCCCTCTTGCAGGCACAAGCAAACCTTGTTCACTGCCCTCATCGTCTCCAGAATATAAAGCCACCCGCCACCTAAGCCGTCGAGAATTAAAGGGACGGTCAGTAAAAGTTTGGCACACGTTTACATGGTAGATTCTTCTGATTTGCCCATGCAGAAGAATACTATGAAGTTGTTCAATATCGGATAAGCGTGCAATTTTAAGTTTAAGCATAAAGGCTTGAGTCCAGCAAGCGCAAACAATTTTTTTAACACATTCACGACGACGCCCCTTTTCCACTTTTCGGTCGCGTGGGACGGACGCGATTTTGTGGGCGCCGCCGCCTCACCACATAACCGCAGATTTTGTTTTGTAAATGAACAAAAACATGAATGTCACAAAATAATTTCTGCAATGTCCAATGCGTAAAGATTATCTAAACATATAACAGTAGGATTTCGATCAGAACGACAAATAGTGGTTACGAAAAGAGAGCATTATTCACTTCCCCGTGAAGGAATTTAAAAGCATTTTACACTCGATTACGAGGTTTGCCCACCTATCTGTCCATTCCTAGCGCCTGGCAAGCGATTATCAGTTGGCAGCCCATATGGGCGGCCATCGGCGTGAATGTGTTAAACATGTGTATAAAAAACCTTCTTGAATTCCATTTGGCCAATCTAATGACTTGCGCGGACCACCCGATGGAGAAATCGATCAGTTTTTATCCTCCCAGACAAGTCTGGTATCTAGTAAGCGACTCCGAAGGGGATGTGGATAGGAGGCTTGGTTGGCCTGGACGGCTTTCGAGGACTTGATCTCTAAACCACGCGCGTGGTAAGCAGCGCCACTTGTCACTGTACCACATTCTCCCTCGCACTTCTTCAATCTAATGAAGCGGAAGAGCCAAGGAGCAAGGAAGGGATTCTAAGCCGCCGTCACCATCCAAAACGAGATCGCGATGTATGCGATATCGAACGCTGATCTTGAGTCTCCCTTCAGAATTGCTAACCCAATCTTTGAAGTGAGGAAGCTTTGACATGCTTTTGATTGGTAACACTTATTTCGGCCGCAGTCCGCCATGCGAAAATTATTGCCAAGAACGCAGGTTATAGGCAAAGCTCTCCGTCCCAGGCAAAGAAGGGCTCCTACGAGCCTAGCAAATTGAAGCGAACAGTGGCTATAAAGCAATGCGTGGTGTGGATTCACATTGAAAGGGTCGTGGGATCGATACCCTTCTGAATTCCTCTTCTGCTTTTTCAACAACATAATGATAAATACTTCAACTGCCGTTACTTCATCAAAAAACTGCCAGTGTAAAGTGTTTGGCAGCAGATCCCAATAAATTATGGCATCACTTGCCCACGACTGCTCATGCCGCCGCACCACACGCGCCAACAGTTTTTGTGCCAATCAAGCCGGTATTCGATAACTGGTAAAATTGATATCATTGGGGAAATTTTGCCAAGTATGAACGTTTCACAATAATTCGAAGAATCAGAGCAGTTATGGTTGAATCGTGCCCATGATAGTTTCACTATGCGGCCAATAATTGTATATCCAATCCGTCAATGAAGATTGGTCTCTAGATTTTCTTTCAGTCATCACAAAACTGAAAAGGTAACAAATTGGAAGTAAAATGGGTGAAAATTGCAAAGTAAAACTTCAAGAAGCCATTGACTGTGCGATATTGCAGTGAACTAATGATCAGAGGCAGTGACCACGATAACTAGCGAGCGCTGCAGATTCGTTAACACCATGAATCCATCGGTGGAAGGGCGTGAAAGGGCTCACCCGACCTTACGATAGCGCGCTGAGGGGATTACCCACTAGTGACGTTCAATGACGTCATCAAAACCGTACCCCCTCCCCCAACTAACGTGATCGCTGCTTTTAAAGGAGGATTCCACGATAAGTCGAAGATCGAGAAAGGGGAAACTTCCCTAGTGGAGACAGGCGGACGCGTAAGAGAGCAACGAACGCACAGCCCGATGCATGCAAGCGTTGCCGTCAGAGGGCTAACTCCACAATCATGTGCAGCATATTCAGTATATTTATGCAGTTCAAAAAAGCTATTTCCATCCAAATCCGTACCCTATTAATGGGCGGAAGTGGATGCAGTGGCAAGTGGCGCGCTTACCACGCGAGCGGTCCGGGGATCAAATCCTGGGTCGTGAGTCGCCCGGGCCAACCAAGCCTTCCATCCCTCCGGGGTCGGTTAATTGGTACCAGACTTGTCTGGGAGGATAAAAACACTGACTTGTACATCGGCTGGCCCCCGCAAGTCATTGTATAGGCCACATCGCATTCAAACGCCACTACGAATGTACAAATGGAAGTAGAATGCGTGCCGCATCCCAAAAGGGATTGATCAACGGCAAATGCTTTATCCTTATCCTACCTCTTGTTCATTCCACGTTTCAGCTCTGATTCAGCATTCTTTCCCTGTTGACATTATTCCGAGAAAAGAGCAAACTTACGCATTTTCCAGTCAACCAATCTCGTCGCCTGCTGAAGTTCAGTGCGATGCCTTTCCTCAAGTTCTCGGATGGCCAAATATGAATCGATGAAAGACGACCTTTAAACATGAATGTTCACTCAAAACCGACTCTAAACAACACGTGAACTCGCTCACGCCGTCTGGGATTCCCATGTCCTTATCAATGAAATCACATCGTTTCAGTTCTCCATATAACACACGATAGTCGAACGCTAAACCATTGTGGGCAACTAAAAACAAACAGAACGAGTCAAAAACAAGTGTCTTTTGAAAGAAAAACAAATACCAAGGCATGCTGGTTTCGGGCACAACTCCAAAAAGTTCTCACAGCTGGCCACTCTTGAGCAAAGGTGCTCTTCAAAATGAGATCTTCACGAGCAAGATTGATGCCTGAAAGGACTCCGTGTGAGACGTGCACGGCCTACACAATTAGCGAGTTCAAGTCAGTATCGTTGTCTCTATTCTTTTAGATAAATCTCATATCAATAAT